ATGAGATAAAAGTTGGAGCATGGAAGGGGCGGGAGGGAGGAGCATAATAGTTTATCTTGTTCACATATTTTCTGTCTTGTTCCAAGTTGTTCCTCTGCTCAGGGCCCTACCTGGTCAAGCATCACATACCCAGGCCCTGGTGGTCAGTGACTAAGGTGAGAACGGATGTGAGGAGAAGCCTGAAGAGCTGGTGCAGAGTTTGCTGCAGGCCTCTCCCTTCTGCCGATGATGACCTTCCAGACAGATACCCAGAGGGAGACCTGTGGAGAAGAGCCCCATCCAACCCACCAGAAAATGAATGATGTGAGCAAGAAATGCAGTTTTTGGATAGGAGCTGAGACTTGGGGCTTAGTTTGTTACAACAGCAAACCCCAGCCAATCCTGATTGACACAGATCCCATTGATAAAAATGCCTGAGGCTCACCATCTCGTTTTCCGGGGACACATGCTCATGGACAGAAGTATAAAGAGGGATGGGGGTGGGGGGAACCATGCTGCGTGGGTACAAGCCAGCATTTCCAGTGTCTGCTGGATGGAAGAACAAGTGAGGGACAGAAGAGAGCCAGAACTTAGCAGTGAAGATCTGGAACCTGGGTCCCTACTAACACCTCTCCTGCCTTTGTCACCTGCGTCTGTTTGCCTGTCTCCTAGCTGCAACCAGGACAAGAACAGGAAGTTCTAGTATGCTTTGTGTAATTTTCCACAAGTGTGTATATTGATGGCATGGAGGAGGAAAGGGAGGAGATAGGGATCTGTGTGAGCCGGGAGAGAATATAAGAAAAATGAGTTTAATTGCCACTGAGCATTTATTTACAAATATTTCCCTTAAGTCACGGTCAATAAAAGTTTCTTTATAGCTGGATTCCACTGTCCCCTTCCCCTTTCTTTGTATTTACTTTTTTTTTTATCTGCTTGCCAGTTCTTTCATTTCTCCCTCTTTTCTCTCAATTACTGAGTAGCACTTCCATAGGTCTGACTCAGTGTGCATGTCAATGAAGCCAGAGTGCACCATGACAAGCACAGGTCAGATTTGGTCCCATTTACAGACCCTTCATGACTAGTGGTGAGAGCAAGAGATATGTGCCACAGGCAGCGCTGGGCACCGTATGCGGAGCACACTAGGAGGCCTGCAAATGAATGCAATGTGAGTTCAAAGCTGTTCTTATGTACCTGCCAGGTATGTACCTGCCAGGAGAGGGGCAGAAGCATTCCTAACAGTATCGGCTCTGCTTTGAGAGGCCATGAAACATGGAGTAACACCTCCACACCCAGGTGTTCCAACCAACCCAGGATACTTATTGAACATCCATCGTAACTGACCATACCTCTAATCAGCTGAATATGCACCTCTAGATGTTCCCTTAATCCTGATATTAACTGTGAGGTTCAAGACCCATTCATTATTCACTTAAGTCATAGAAAATGATCAAGTACTAGGTCTCTGGTGTGTGATATTTCTCACATGCTTTTCTCTGAGCCTTACTTTGCTCATCTGTGAAATAAGATTAACATGTTCTCAGCCTCTTTTGATAAGGTTTCCTGAAGGCTTCAACAAGATACAGGTGTTGAGTGCCCGGTATGTTTCCATGAGTGAAATAAGTATTCAAACGTTACCAGTCTTATTCAAAAGAGGCAATGGCCGTATCTGAGTGTCGTATTAAACACTCAAAAAGTTCTAGCCCAGGCCACCAGCTCCCCGTCCCCCAGGGATGGGATTCAGTTCAGGCAACATAAATTGAGTTTTTAATTGGCGCCAGGTCTGATGGGAGCCGGACAGTTGGAGTGGAGTCTGGTGAGAAGGAATGGGTTTCAGGTTGGTCCTACACCCCAGCGGGATGGATGGGGTTGCTAATTTGGCAGGTGGGACTGCTGCTTTGGAGTGCGGATAATGGTAGACTTGAGAGTGAGCACCATGCTCAGAGATGAACTGGGGGGACATTGACCAAGAAAGGTGTTTGTTGTAGGAAATGGGACACAGCTTTCTTCAGGAACTAGGAGGAGGAAGCATGGCTGGGAAAGGATGCTCAGGGTTGTTATTAGAGAGGCTGGGGAAACAAGAGACAAAAGGGAGAAATAACATGGCATTGGAACAGAACACCAACCTGGGGAACTCTGAGAGTTTCAAAGAAGGAACCTTCTGTGCAGAATTGCAGTCTAGTAGGAGGCTGTAGGTGAAACGACCAGTGTTCCTGCAGGAGAGCACTGCTTTTCTGACAGGACTTTCTGCACAGGGAGTTCGTATGGGTGAGGATAATCTTTCCCCTGCATCCAAATCACCTTAATAATGTACTATGGCATGATCAGGTTTTAATAATGAAAACATTTGATACAAATAGGGAGAAGGTATTCCCATAAAATGGGCTAAACAGGACCCAGATTAAAGCAGCCCCTTTCCCCCTCTCTCTCTCCCCCAACCCCCTCTGTGTTCATTCCTGGGACAAAAACCTGTATATCAGTGGTTCTCAACTTGTGCACCTAGAACCCCTTGGGGGGGGTCACATATCAGATATCCTGCATATTATTTACTTTAGGATTCATAACAGTAGCAAAACTACAGTTGTGAAGCAGCAATGAAATAATTTTATGGTTGGGGGTCACCACAGGACGAGGAACTGTATTAAAGGGTCCCAGCCATAGGAAGGTCAAGAACCACTCCTGCACATGCTCGTCACCGAACTATGTCCCCAGCCCAAAACAGTGCTTCTTAACCTTGGCTACTCTAGAACCACCTGGGAGCTCTTAACAATTTTTTTTTTCCTGAGTTGGTGGCAGACGCACTGCAGGAGACAACAGCTTTCCCAGTACTTTGAGTGTTGGATCAAGATCGTGAATTTGAGACATAGGAAGACCCTGATTTAAAACAAAACCCAACTCCAAGCCAAACAAATTAAAACCCACCACCACCAAAACCACAAAACCGCAGGGGGCAGGCAGCACCACAGCTGAGTTAAATCAGAATCTCTGAGGCTGGCAACCTGACATCCGTTTAAAAGTAATTGAGGCGGGTAGAAAGGGTGTTAGGGAAGAACTCTGTGCAAGCAAGAGGAGGTATCTGCCTAAGGGGAGCCCAGAATGAAAAGATATAAAAGAAAAGCCAGGAGCCAGTAGAACAGGAGTTGCGAATAAGGAGCCAGGACTGCTGGAATACAAGTGGGTGGGAGCCCAGGAGCCTTTCTCACTGAAAGCAGACGAAGGCAGCGCTCTGGACTCCAACTCCGTTGTGTGCTTCCGCGGGTCTGCAACGCAGCTCCGAAGCTCCGGAAGTGCTCCCCTGCGGATGGCAGCTTCAGTGAGGAAGGGCTCACCTTAATACGTACTACTGTGCAAGGAGAAGGTCTATAGGGGAGTGTGTGTGTGTGTGTGTGTGAAAATTTGGTATGTTGGTGGTGGGAATCCAATCCTAATCTTTACAAATGCTAGGCTGATACCCTTCGCCTAGCCGTGCTCTGAGTCCTGCGGGAAGACTTTATGGAGAGAATAAGAGACGTTTCTGTCTGTTCTTGCTGCAGATGTGTATTTCTGTCTCAAAGCCAATGGCAGCTGCCTGAGCTTTGGTCAACTGCATCTGTCCACTTGAGAGAAGCATTTTTGGAATTTCAAAGGAGTTTAAAAATTAAGGCCCCCATCTCTCACTAATCTGTAGAATTCATGTGAGTGTCACCTTCTGGGGAAAGGGTTCCAGAACAAGGCCACCCCCAATCCCAGCCCCGCTGATGTAGGTGTACCTTCTGTCTGAAAGCCACACCCAGGGTCAGTTGCTATGGTTCAAAGCCCAAGGCTTTACCTCTGTTCTCTCACCCCACTTCTGACAATTCTTTTCCCTTTGGGGATAAGGATGCCTACGTTTCCTTGGAAGTTGGAAAAAGACGTATGAAGCTGCTATGGATAGTCAAAGCAAGGGTAGAGGGGACAAATACAAATGAGGTAGGAAGGACAGAGGGGCTCCCGAATATGAGACAGGAGAGCCAAGACAACTCGAGAGTTAACCGTCTGAGAAGGGGGAGCCTGAGGTCCAGTAGGAGAGTGTGGGGGAAAACTATTAACGCTCCCGCTGGATAACAGCACTTTCCTGATCGAGGTGTCTGCGCAGGATGTTCATTTCGGTGAGGAGGATCTCTAGTGCACATCAAAATCACCTTAATAATGAACTGTGGCACACTTGGGCTTTTTGTTTGTTTGTTTGTGTTTTTCTTGAGACAGGGTTTCTCTCTGTAGCCTTGACTGTCCTGGAACTCGCTCTATAGATCAAGGTGGCCTAGAACTCACAGACCTCTGCCTCTTCTGCCTGCTTCTGAAATTAAAGGCGTGCGCCAACACCGCCTGGCCATAAATAGGTTTTATTAATGGGGAAACGTTCAATACAAACGTATAAAATCGAGACAAAAAGTATAGGTAGGGCCTTCCAGCCGCAGATAGCGTTCTCTCTAACTCTTTAGTTACTTTTAAGGTCACCATTGCACTTTTGCCCACCTCTGCCCAGGTGTTCTGGCGGCGCCAGGCGGCAGGTGCGACACCCCGCCCGTACCTGTGCGGCGTTCGCCCCGCGGCCAGCAGGGGGCAGAGCGCGCCGGCTCCCGGGGCTCCGCTCCTCACCGGCCCCGCCCCCCGCCCCAGGACCCGGTGGCGGCGGGGGCGCGGAGGGCTTAAAGGCGGCGGCGACCGCCCGCGGGCAGGCGCGGGGCGTCCTCCCTCGCCCGGCGTCCGCGTCACCTCCTCATACCTGAGTGGGGAGAGCGGCGCGCCTTCTCCCCGCCCTCCCGCCACTCCTGATCGCCGCACTAGCGCTGCCGCCGCCCAGGGAGTAAAGGTCGCGCGGGCCGGTGCGAGCGGGGCGTCAGCGCCGGCGGGTCGGTCCACCCGAGAAAGGAGCGCGGAGGAACCGGGACCAGTGTCCCGGAAGACTGCGCCAGCCGTGCACAGAGATCGCGGGGGGAGCTAGGAGCCCGGCCTCGGCTCTCAGCCCGGACCCAGCGTCCCGCGAGGCGCCCGGGGCTCCGGCCCGGCCCGCGGGGTCATGTCGTACAGCGAGCTCTACAGCCGGGTGAGTGCGGGCCCGGCGCAGCCCCGGGGCACAGGTGCGGCGCGGCGCGCTCCCGGCCACCTTCCCCGACGCCCCTGCCAGCGTCTCTGTGGCCCGGTCCCCGGCACCCCTAACTTGGATGGTAGAGAAAGTTTGGGTGTTCCAGGAGCGCGCCGCACCGGCTAGCCGCCCCGCAGAGTCCCCCTGACAGCGGCGCAGCACGGTCCCACGCTTTGCCCTTCCCTTCCTGTCCTTTCCTGGGTTAGATCTCCTGCTGAGATCCTGGGACCGAAGGTGCATCTTAGCCAGCTGGTAGCCAGGGCAGGACACCAGCCTCCACCGAGGCACCTGACGTGCGACCCCATTTCCTCTTTCGTGGACCCGGTTTCAGGCTCTCTGCAGTGTCAAGAGCTCCTTCCTTTGCCTTCTAGCGTGAGGCAACCAGAGGGACCCTAAACTTGGGAGAGGAGAGGAACCAGGATCCTCTGGGTGGGAGGGGCACAGAGTCCGAAGGAGGAGCGAGGGCAGTGGGTAGAGAGACATCCTTTCTAATGATCCCAAGGGAAGTACATTCTTTTTAAAAATTGTATATGTATACACATATAAAATTCCTTTTAGTTTTATGTGTATGCTTGCATGCCTGTTAAGAGCACCTAGAAGGCCAGAAGAGGGCGTCAGAGCCCCTGGAATTGGAGTTACAGGCGTCCACGAGCCTCCTCGTGGGTGCTGGGAATAGAACCCGGGTCCTCTGCAAGCGGTGCAAGTGGAATGTAGCAAGCTGCTCTTAACTGTGGAACTATCTCTTCAGCCACAGGAAGCCCGTACTTAATTTGCCCACAATGGGCATTTTGAAGCAGTCCTTGGGTTCTCAGGTATTTAGATAGGGGCAGGCTGGAGTAATTATTGACCAGGATTGGAGTGTCGATTTTCAGGTTTTTTTTTTTCAAGGTCAGAGTGTGCATGTGTGTGATGGAGGGTAGGGGGTGGTCAGAATTGGGAACAGGTGCAGCAGGAGCGTCTGCTCCCGGGTTACACGGGCAGGTGCTGTAGTTAAAGTGACCAGCAGCTTCTCAGGCATTGGCTCTGCAGTCCTAGCCCTTCTGGTTTCTGCCTGGTCCGGGGGATGGGGGCAGGGTGACACGGTCTGTCTTTAATCACCAGTCCTGTTTTCCTTAAAAAAAAAAATGTTTCGCGATGTCTGGTTTTCTTGTTCGTCGTTTCTGGTGACTGGTACCTGTTTGACAGACTAGCCTGCCTGCACGCCTCTGTGCAGAGGGATGTGTGCATGCAAACGCTCTATGTGTACGCAAGTCCTGTAGGCGAGTTTGCAATTCCTGTTTCGCCGGCCTGGTGGACAGGTCTGGGCGGGGTAGGAAGAGGTACTTCCGCATCCTCACCTGGCGATTGCTACCTAGTGTCCAGCGCATGGGGGAGCCCTTCAGCTCCGTGGGCTTACCGCCTATCTCAGTTTGAAATTTTAAATTCTCATCTTTTTTTCGGACACAGTCCGGGTCAGCAAGGGCTAACCCTCATCTAGTAGTTAGGAAGGAGGATGTCTCCTGGTTAGGGGCCAGTCCTGGGTTGTTTTGAAAGGCCTTTGGATCTACCAGGGACCCTTAAAGCACAATAGGTACCAGTCTCTATGAGAGGGGTGAAGCAGGTGCGAGCCAGGGCTGGGACTCTTTAGTAACAGCGGCTTGGGAAACGCACCCCACCTCTTTTACCCGTGGGAGTTTGGGGAGGAGCCTTGGGAGTTCCGACTGCAGCTCTGGAGCAGAGAGGCTTGTCGGGAACCTGGTTCGGAGGCTGGAAACCAGTGACGCAGGGAAAACCAGCCTGAGCTGCATGGAGTGTTCAGAGCTGAAGCTGTGTTCCGTGACAGCGAGCAGAGCAACTGCGAATACAAGAGATGAGCAATTGCTTCGCAGGTTCACACAGTGTGTCTTGCTGAAATCCCCGAGCAGACAGTATTTAATTGCTGCGTCATGAAGCTAATGAATTACTGGATACACTGAGTTTTTGGAGATCTAGTTTTAAAAAAAACTGAATTTCTTTTCAAGTAGATCACTTGTTGGGAAACAATTTGATTTTTAGTTAGAAGTGAATATATTGCATGCTAATAGGGACGATGAGTTAGTAGGAGTCTGAATTTGAAGTTTCAAGTGTACTTTTGAGTTAATCCATCTATGGACAAAAATCACAGTTCCTGGAACTAGTTAAGAAGTATCTCATTGGTGTAAAGGTTTGGTATAATGGTATAATTAAAGCAAAATGGGCAGAGTCCGCTGTTAATGGGTTTATGGTTCTCAGTTATTGTATCGTAAGTAAAAGATAGTGTGTGTGTGTGTGTGTGTGTGTAAGCACTGGCTTCCAAGGGTTTGGTTTTGGAGATTGGGTCTCACTATATAGCTCTGTCCTGCAGCTCCCTGTGTAGATCAGGCCTGCCTCTGCCTCCTGAGTGCTGCTGGGATTAAAGGCATGCACCACACTATACCTGGGGAGCTTCCAGGTTTTTGTTGGGCTGCCACTGTTCTTTCTGGCAGTAAAATGCACTTACACTAATGTCTGAGAATCAGTCAGCCTGCGTTCTTACCATTGTAATCCTGTGTGCCAGGTGGGATTCTGAGTATGAGCCATAAGTTACAGAGACAGTACCTGCTGCTCAGACACACTCCCTCGGGGAGATGGTTTGTCCATTTCACTGTAATATGGAAATATCCAGTGTTCCCTTTTGTTTGCAGTGTCCTAGTGGGCTTTCCTAATGTGTCAAACACTGGGCTGACACACACTTTAATGTATTATGCATGATGGAAATAATTATCCGCCATGCCAACAGCATTTTCAAATGTTTGGAGTGGAAATTTTGTAACCCTTATTGCTCATACCTATTGCCTAAGTTGGGAGATGTTATTGGAGTATAAAGCGTTATAGAAGATGTCCATAGCTTGTAGACATGACAGTTCTAGTAGAAAGTTAGTATATTATTATTCTTTCTGGTTACTCAGACTTCTCCCTCTACCTTTTTTTCTCTCTTCAACTTTAGGCTCCTATGCTATGTAGTGTGTGTATAAGGGATGTTATTGGTTTTTCTCACTGGTGAAGGGCACTTCTCATTAACAAAGACACTCCTAGCTTTAGAATACACAGCCCCCCTTACCTATGAGGAATTGCTTTCTTTATAGTGAGGATGGGAAAAGAAACTCAGTTAGTACTAGCCACTTTCAGAGTGACATCAAGGTGAGTCACCTTCATGGACTCTTAAGAGAAAGCTGGACTGGACAATAGGCTCTGTTGTCGCCACAGCTTTCCATATGACACATGTTAGTGATTTGTTTTCCATCCACCAGAGAAGACAATGTGGGCTTGATTTGTACAGGCCCTGGAAGGAAGCCCATACGTGTGCTAGCATGGGGAATGGGACCTGATGGTTTCAGAGGGCAGCCTGATCTTAAACTAGACATAGCCTCTTTCCCCCAGGCTGAGTAATATAAGCTCTAGAGGACTATTCGGATACAAAATGTAAACACTGCTTCTTAGTTATTTTAAATAATGACATTTTATGTTTGAGACTTAACTTATAGTCAGAAGAGTTTCTGGGAGACCAGCACAGTTAGGGCTCTTGGATAATCCTTTTGTGCTTAGCTTTTAAATGTCAGGTAGCATCTCTGCAGTCTAATGAAAACTCAAAATACACAAATGGTTTCATTTCTCTTCAGTGCTGAGAGTGGGATCCAGGGCCTTCCCTATGCCAGTCAAGAGCTTGACCACTGAAGCACACCTCAGCTCTAGCTGTGGCATTCTGAGTGCTGCTAAGAGTTTGCCAGATTGATGGACACACCTTTTGAGTGTCAACTTTGAGCCTGGAGCCTTTACTAAGAGTTCAGATAGGAATGCGACTCCTTGGTAAAACAGAATTCCTGTGAACTATCTTTTAGCTTTCACTCCCCTATACCTCAAGTAAGTAGGTTTCATACTGGTGTGATGGTTTGAATAGGGCTTTCCTCCCAGCCCCACCCAATAGACCCAAGCATTAGCTTGGTCCACAGAAAACAGCACTATTAGAAGTTGTAGCCTTCCTGGGCAGTGGTGGAGCATACCTTTAATCCCAGCATTTGGGAGGCAGAGGCAGGCAGTTCGAGGCCAGCCTGGTCTACAGAGTGATTTCTAGGACAGCCAGGGCTATACAGAGAAACTCTGTCTTGAAAACCAAACAAAAAAAAGCTGTAGCCTTGTTGGAGTAGGTGTGGCCTTGTTGGAGGAAGTGTGTCACCGTGAGGGTGGGCTTTGAGGTCTCCAATGCTCAAGTTCTGCCCAGTGTAGAATTCAAGTCTCTTCCTGCTACTGACTTTGGATCAATATGTAGGGTTCCTCCAGCACCAAGTTTGTCTGCACAATATCGTGCTTCCCACCATGTTGACAATGGACTAAACCTCTAAAACCATAAACAAACCCGAACGAAATGCTTTCATCATGGTGAGGAGCAGACAGACACAGTGCTGGAGAAACAGCTGAGAGTTCTACATCCAAATCCACAGGCAGCAGGAAGGACACTTGACTGACACTGACTTGGACCTTTAAAATCTCAAAGCCCACCCCCTCGGACACCCCAACAAGGACACACCTAATAGTGCTTCTCCCTGATGACTAAGCATTCAAATCTGGAAGCCTGTGGAGGCCATTCTTATTCAGACCACCACATTCTACTCCCTGGTTGCCCATAGGCTGGCAGTCATACACAAAGTGCATTTAGTCCAACTCCAGAAGCCCCCATAGTCTATAACAGTCTCAACACTGTTTAAAAGTCCAAAGTTAAAATCTCTTCTGAGACGCAAGGTGATCTTTTAACTGTGAACCCCTGTAAAATCAACATCAAAAAGCAGAACACATACTTCCAACATATAATAGCACCATTCCCAAAAGGACGGAGGGGAGCATAGTGAGAAAATACTGGACCAAAGCAAGACTGAAAATCAGCAGGGCAAACTCCAGACTTGGCATCTCCACGTCTGATGTCAAAGCGC